GAGTGTGGCAACTATACTTTTAAAGCATTTTGAAGTGACATATCCAATTATTATGAAAGGAATTAATGTGTGGTTCAGAGTCAGCGTACAGACCTTGTTTTTTCCCCCAATAGCCTTGATGTGCATATAATTGCATGTCTCTCCGTCGATGATCTCTTCTAATTTATTCTGCCCACCTGCCTTCAGGTGCTGATATCCAGTAGACAATTTGAGGTGGAATGAGGGGGAATGCTATCCGCCTTGTTGGCAAAATGAATGTCCCTTATTAACCTGTGACCCCTCCCTCTCCATCCCCTTGTAGCAGAGAGAGTAAAGGGTTGTTTAGTTGAATATGTTAGTCTGACTCATTGATCCTATCTGACTGAGGTTTGTGCAAATTAAAATCTATGGCTTAGAAATATCAGTAGCCTACCTGTGTATCGATAAAGCTACGGCACTGTCCATGGTGCTGAAGTAGCAGACAGAATTGGGGGTGCAGGTGCAGCATTTAAATCACAGGTCGCCTACTGCTTACTTTCTTCCGCAACAGTTCCCTCTTTTCCATCCATCTCGTACAATTCCTGGCAGAAGAGCTGCGTCATCTAAACTTTAGATCAGCCTCATAAATATTTCACTTCAGACTCTGGTATTACTTGATTTGGGTACATCTCTATGCATCAATTGGCCGGTCATTAATAAAACACAATCTCGTTATTGTGTGCTCCTAAACCAACATGCTTTATTGCGCTCTCTATTATCAGATTGGTGAAACCCTGCACTGTGTTGTTGAGTCTGTGTGTAGCCTCTTTGGCAGATGGAGAGAATGGCAGGCATACAGTATATGAGATGACAAGCGCACACACTGGCATGTAGTGAAAGCTGATATCCCTCTGCATGTGTGTGTGTGTGTGTGTGTGTGTGTGTGTGTAGTCCTGAGGGGAAAAGTGCATATGTATCTATGACACAATCAATAGACTTCTACACTGTTCAGTTTAATCTTGTTTTGCATGATAGGAAAAGTAGATTTAAGGAAATATGCAGATATAAATGGATTTAGTGTAACTTCAGCTAATGTTTAATATGGTTGGAAGTTATCTCTATCAAATCAACACCTTACCATCACCATGTAACAAGAGGACGGAACAAGAATTTACCGGTGCAGGAATCTAGCCTGTCTACTTCCCCGTCTGAAGAGTTAAGATGCACTGAAATGCCCCTCGGCATGCCAACATTTCGGAGCTGTTTGTGAACTTGCGGCTTAAGTGTTTGTTTGAATGGCTCTCAACTGACCTCTCTCTTGTTCAAAAGCAAGCAATTGCAAGACTGCAGCTGACCGGTTGAGTTCTCGTCTTCTCCTTTTAAACTCACTTTTTTTTGCCCCTTCTTTATGCTTCATACGGGCTCATTCGCAGTCTTCAATATTTTACCACTGTTTGATATTTTAAAGGATTAATAAGAAAACACATTTCAGTACAAGCTTTACTTCATATTCTCTGGCAGAATAGCCAACTGCATATCACGTTCATATAGATAATTGTACACACAGGAGCATCAAAAGAGAGTGCCATCAAAAATATTTGTAATTACAAACAACTTGATGAATCTCTCTCCCACAGCCAACCCACGTCAGAACCGTGGGAACCGCTAAACAAAGTACCTCCCTGATGAGACTGAGACATTAATAGAATGAATGTGGCTTCTTTCACAAAATGGTTTACCACGGCTCCTTCTCTTGGAGCAACATTATAAAAGAGCAAGTAAAAAGAAGATGTCACATTTATGTTCCAGTAGCCGGCGGTAGAAAGGCAGGATCGCTAGAGCAAGCTTGTCAGTTCACGTCCCCTAGAATGACTACTACTTTAGCAAATGTGCACCCACAGTACTTTGGAACAAGGCAGTATATTCCAGAGTATTCCAGAGGAGATGCAGTAGTCACTCAGTAAATAAAAAAAAATTTGAATTCAGTTAAATGCATAACACATGTCAGGAGCTGAAACCTGGAATAAATAAACCCTTTTATCATATGGAGACAAAACTATTATCCAACAGATCAAATTTCACAAACGTTGCAATGAGGTCATCGCAGGACCATCAGCCTGGGCCAAATAACATTCAGTCTAGTGGAGTCGGGTAGGTTATATCAGCTCTGATTGCATGATGCCTCATAATCGCTGCAGGGTATTTGTTGACTGGAAGTTTGAAGTGCGCTTTGAAAGACAAATTACATGTGGGGTTATTCTTTCAACTGCAGCTGCTTGTTCATTGGTTTATCATGCTGCTGCCTGCCAGTGGTGGAAAGTAACTAAGTACATTTTCTCTGTTACTTTACTTCAGTACAATTGACCCTTGCTATAAGTCCAGCCCCTTGATCGCAGACTGGACAATCATAGCGTAGCATTGGCAAGCTCTGACCAAGGTCCCACAACTGCTCCATAGACTCTCACGCAATCATTTCAGATGTTCTTCATTTTCTGGCTGGTTTTGTGGATTTGGAGCTAATTTAAGGTTGTGTAATAGTACAACTTGTTACCGGGAGATGTTGGAAGGAGATATTAATTTCTAAAATATTACATTTCTAGGCAATAGCCTACGGAGCTAACATTAGAATACGTAAGCACATCATTAATTAGCGCTAGCACTTTTATGCTAAGCTAGCTACCGAAGGATTACTGAATACAAATGCTGCTTTGGCTTTGGCTCTGCTTGATTGTAACAGAGAATTAAGACCTGCCCGGCTACACAGGAACAGTGCTGTTCCTTCATTTCATTGTCTTCTGTCTCAATCCCCAGTTGATTGGGTCGTTCACTTTTACACTGTGATCTGTAGGCTTTAGCGTCTATCCTTATTTATTGAGCTAGTTTTTGCTGCTAAATCAGTTTGGCATCCTGGATATATCCTTTAAACTCGTATTGTAGACCCCTCTGTCTGCTTCTCTCTGATATCACTTTTTGTTGGTCCATGAGATAATTTTTTTGCAGGGATTGCAGTAGTGACAGTGTGGGCTGCATGGTAGCTCTGACAGTGTAGCAGCAGGGGGCGGGGCTTAGTGAAGCGTCAATTGTCAATTGCTACTTTTAAGTAAAGGGTCTGATTTCTAATTATGCTGCTGCCAGTCTTGGTCTGTTTGGGTAAACCATTTCTTGTTTGGAGATACAGGTACAACAAAAGTTTCAGATTGGGTTTAAAAATCTACCTTAAAGTTTATTAGAAGTCAATGCATTCTCTTAACGTCATCCTTCTTCACATTCACTCAGTGACATACAAACATACCTTAGCACTAACTGATACATCCACGGTCTTCTGCTGTCAGCAACTACACTGATGCCCTGAGCCATTAGAAGTAAAATGCCTTGCTCAAGACTACATTGGCAGTTATATATAGACCCTATCCTCCAGTCCTGAGCCTGATTTGTCTTCCTCGAGGCTACCACTGACCCTGTTAAAATCAAGTGAAACATCCCAAATATAATACCAAATTTGTCCAGCACATCTTCAGACCACTTCAGCGCTATACTGTTAAATATAACTTGTGCTGAATTTACATTTTTCTTTATTTTACAGTAACATCGTTTTTTTCTGCTCAGTTTGATTAATGTGACTGAAGGCCACAGATGAGGAAGAAGGGGAGGAGTGAAAGAACTGGGCTGAAAAAGCAGAGGATTGGAAGAGTGGGGTGGGGGGGGGGGGGGGGGGGGGGGGGGCTGAGCACAGAGTCTAATGTAGCGTGCTCCCAGAATCTAGATCACTGAACACACCAGTGTTCCTTCAGTCATTTCTTGTAGCAGAAATGGGCACCCTGGTTTCACTTGAACGTGTTTGTCCCAGTATCGGGCAGTAGTGCGTCCACAGTGCTAATGCTACGACTAGCCGGATCACAGAGGTGGGGCTGCAGGTTTGGACTTTGAGACAAGACACCTTATGCAATAAGCTAGAGCAACAACTTAATTGCATAAAGGGAGGGGGGGGCAGAGACGGCAGTGACGGCGCCTTGGGAATAAGCCTTAAATCCTTCAGTGAAGAATGATCAAAATTCATCATAGCCTGTAAACCTATCTTGTGGCTTGATTTGGCAGCTGAACTTGAATGTGACCATAGCATTAGTATATGTTACTTGTTGACTCATTTCAATACAGTCTGATACTAATATTGGACCCATCAATGACTGCAATGAGAGGGGGTAAATATAATTGAAGTCGTTTTGCAGTTTAGAGATGTTCATATTGATATTGTAGTTTTATTCAATTGTATGAATAGCTTATTTAAAGAAATGGTGATATCGTTAGGCCATTTTAATGCATTCAGAATTCTATGAGGAAATTGGTGGATGGGGAAAGTTCTCCTAAATCACTCACACAAACCACGAAATCTGTTCGAACAAGTGGTTCTTGCATGAGGCCAACTGTGTTGGACAAATACATTTAAATATCAAACCAATCATACAACCCGTCTCTAAAATTGTTATCTTTTTTTTTGGCATGTTTCATTCATGCACTTCTGTGTCATTGTTTTGTGAGTAAATGCTTAATTTCATTTTAGTAGTGGGAGTTCAGGAGTTTCTCCTATTACTTTTCCTCATGGCATTTGGCAAAAGTGTATGTTTGGACTTGATGTGTTTATCCTACATTTTATTAGGCTTCTCGCAAATAAATCTCATATGTCTTACATGATAATAACATTTTTTTGTAAATGAAATGTCCCTATTGAAAACCAAATCTTGGTTTGAATTAAAAAAAACTCTTCTGTGAAAATTGTACAAGTATGAATCTTCATAATCTCATACCAGTATCAGCGACTATACCTCAACAGCAAAGTATTCCGCCTGTCTAACGGTAAACGTGTGAAGCTGCATGAATATGAAGCAGGGATTGAGAGGACACAAAGCAGCCTCTCTGGGGTAAGCAAAGGTTTGTCCCTATAGGACCTGGGGGGCTATAGGCCAGGCTGGCTGGGAATATGCGGACACAGACAGCCGACTTGCTTGTAACACAAGGTCCCACTCCCCACACAGAATTAAGTACGCTCCGCAGGACCCGAGTACGCGTCTTGTCCCCGCCCCCTCCGACAAGGCACAGCATCCACACGCTGCGTGATCCCCATCACAAACCGAGAGCGGCGGCTTCGCGGAGCCTGATGGAGTAGTAGTACTAGTAGTAGTGGGAGTGCTCGCGGGTTTCTTTCGCCCTCTTCTCCTCCTTTTTTTTTTGTTGCTTTAATGGATTCGCCTTTTCTCCGGAATATCGCTTCATCCCATCGCGGTAAGTGTGCGCGGTGCCTGCAGATGCTGTGGTTGGTGAGAGAAATAAGAGGAAACGGGACTGTGCAGCTATTGTCTGTTACTGTGGCAAGTTCGGACCTTAATCAAGTCGCAACGCGGGGGTCTATTCAGATAAAAAGAAGGGAATCGAAGCTCGGAATGAAAACGGATTTTGGTTTTCAGTGGGAGAATGTGTGGACGACAGTGCTTAAATGATTGTAGAGGATCGATATCGGTATTTTTTAACAGACACCTGTCTCTCTACCAGCAACAGTGACCGTTCTCCGGGGCTTATTTACGCCCTTACAAATACGCGTATTTGCCGAGCGCTGCGCATCCCTTATTTATAGGAGTAAAACAAACATATGTGCAAACGTTTCGCCTCTGTTGCCGAGCAAACGTGTCTTCAGTACAGCAGGAAAAAAAAAATCGGCCCAACTCCCCCCCCCCTCCCCCCGACATCACAGGCTGGCTGTTCCTCCACGAGCGCCCCCCCCCATAGACATGCACGGCGTGGTTGATGCTTTTTAGATTTCCAAGAGGCTGAAATCCATGCTTGTTGAGATACCTTGTTGAGCGGTATATAGGGCAATTAATTCAGTGCAGCGTTTGCCAACATCACCATCATCATCCTCATCCTCTGATTGCTTCTCCCATCATCATATTTGGAAAAAACGGCACTGTGCATGTGCAGACTTGGCCTTAGCTTGAGTGTGAGAGCTGAGCAAAGGGGCCGAACCTCGTCTTCCAATGGTGCTCCCACATTGAAGGAAATACCAGTATGAATAAAATCATATTTCTGATATAAAGGATTTGTTATGAATGTCTGATTTGGTCCAATATGACCTTATCCTAAAGGTGCTCTCTGGACATGAGGTTCAAATGCATGGGGGGGTATATTTGACTGTAAGTTGTGTATAAGGCTGCAAATGTGATCAAACAATACATTTAAACAAATCTGGGATGATTAACAACAAAATGAATCAAATCTTGCCGAGTGGGGTTGAGAGGCGTTGCAGACCAGTGACCACGCTGGACCCTCCATGTATCGCAGAAGTCAGCGCTCGGCTCTATTGTCCAAACAAGTGCTTCTTATTTTGAATCACTTGCCCTGATTATTGGATAGTTTCCCCCCGCCGTCCCCTTTACATCCTCAGTGGTGGAGATGTGATGAGGTTAATGCTTCCTGCCTGTCTGCACATTGCCATCTGTACTGGATCCTCCTCCTTGTGTCCCCTGGCTGAGGGCTGCAAGCAAGATAGTATCACCTGCCCAGAGAGGCACATATTTCAGCTATTTGTACTTGGGAATTTGTGCGTTGTTTTGCCGCGTGTGTTTGTATTTGAAATGTGTGCTCATGCCCGTCCCTGGAGTACACTGGAGCAGGGAAATGGTATTATTCAACAGACAGATGGCGGGCGGCTGGGCAGCAGGTGAGCCTTTCATTGGCTGTCAGCAGGGCCCGCCGAACGCGAGACAACTCTTGGCATAAACCTACCGGCACGCCATACAGCGTCACAAGTGTGCGTTTTATACAGTGTGTGTGTTGAAGGTTTGAGTATGCAAATGCTTCTTTGCAGACAAGAGAGCGCACACGGGGAGTGCATGTGTAAAATGTCCCATTCTATATTGCTCACACAGAAGGTCTTGTTTTGCTGTAGGGTGCCTGTGTGTGTTTGCCTTTCCTTGAAAGATTATGTCACTTTTGACCAATCAGACAGCAAAACAGGCTGAGGTCACGATGACATCATCATACATGGCAATGATATGATGTTCGCTAGTGACATCATCAGGTACTCTGATGTTTCTACCATCAACACGTCTATTAACTGATCATGATGGTTATTGTGCTTAGATTCATCAGTGTTATTGTTGTGATGATTATGTGCCAATTTGGACACATGATTTAGATTGTGTCCGTTTTGATAGAAAATGTGCCAGTTTTGGGGACATTTTAGTCATTGGATGGTCATAGTTTGATGTTATTGTTAGTTTTAGTCTAGTTTTGTTGAACAATGACTAAACACATTTATTTTGAAGTCAGTGCACATTTCTGATTACAGTCGTCTAATGTTGGTTGATACCACTGTCATAGACGTTGTTGTTGTTTACTGTTAACTGAAATGATGGTCAAATACTTTCCTGGGCTGCCACAGTCTTGTTCTTTGTCCCGTTTTTCATTATCTCTCAAGTTAGTTCTGATTCATCAATTCATTCTGGTCACATCGTGATGGTTATCATGATCAGAAGTTCGCAAGGGAGGGACAGCGAGAGGGTTGATCTTGAGATTTGTCGAAAATAGAAATTGAGCTCTCGTGTACGATCACCTCGTCACATCACACGCGATGAATCAAAATGTAACATGGGTCCTGAACAGCAGCGAGTGAGTGCTCAGGGAAACTGGATAACGCATATCGCTTCTGGCTATTTACACTAAAATGCTTCAGTTATTTCTTGCTGCCTTTTGGAGCACACAAAGCTGCTACAGTGCTCTGAACGCATGGCAAAGAAAAAAAATTCAAATAATGGTGATACGGTGCTGTTCTGAAATGTGTTACAAATTCCAATAATGGCAGGGAGACAGCGGCCAATGCCTTACGTTGTTAAAACACCAGAAGGGAAGCTGCAGGAAGCGCTGACCTCTGAACTCATGTCTGCTTGTCTAACTCCTCCTCCACTACCACACTAGAGACTGGCTATTGATCACATGCACACACATACGTACACACATAACCCCTTTCCCCATGCTCCGTTGATAGCAAGTATTTGATTACCACAAGATGCGGGGGGGGCAGTGTTATTAGAGCAGTGGGAGTGTCCAGATTGGGCCATATATCTGTCACCGTGACGCCTCCTGGGAATGCTTAGCCCTAAGGTGAGATAAGGCCTGCCTCTGAAGACTGAGAGGCCCTCCCTTTATCTACGAGGAGGCTGATATATGCAGGTGATATATAGTGTGAGAGACGAGCAGGACAAACGGGAACACTGGCTGCACCCCCTGAATGTGTTTGCTCGGTTTTGCCAGAAGCCAAATACAAATGCAATAACGGCTAATGTGGCTTAACATCTACAGTTGTGTGAAAAAGTGTTTGCCCCCTTCCTGATTTCTTATTTTTTTGCATGTTTGTCACACTTAAATGTTTCAGATCATCAAACAAATTTAAATATTAGACAAAGATAACAAAATGCAGTTTTTAAATGAAGGTTTTTATTATTAAGGGGGAAAAAAAATCCAAACCTACATGGCCCTGTGTGAAAAAGTGATTGCCCCCTAAACCTAATAACTGGTTGGGCCACCCTTAGCAGCAACAACTGCAGTCTTTTACAGCGCTGTAGAGGAATTTTGGCCCACTCATCTTTGCAGAATTGTTGTAATTCAGCCACATTGGAGGGTTTTCGAGCATGAACCGCCTTTTTAAGGTCATGCCACAGCATCTCAATCGGATTCAGGTCGGGACTTTGACTTGGCCACTCCAAAGTCTTCATTTTGTTTTTCTTAAGCCATTCAGAGGTGGACTTGCTGGTGTGTTTTGGATCATTGTCCTGCTGCAGAACCCAAGTGCGCTTCAGCTTGAGGTCACGAACAGATGGCCGGACATTCTCCTTCAGGATTTTTTGGTAGACAGCAGAATTCATGGTTCCATTTACCACAGCAAGTCTTCCAGGTCCTGAAGCAGCAAAACAGCCCCAGACCATCACACTACCACCACCATATTTTACTGTTGGTATGATGTTCCTTTTCTGAAATGCCGAGTTACTTTTACGCCAGAAGTAATGGGACATACACCTTCCAAAAAGTTCAACTTTTGTCTCGTCAGTCCACAGAGTATTTTCCCAAAAGTCTTGGGGATCATCAAGATGTTTTCTGGCAAAACTGAGACGAGCCTTTATGTTCTTTTTGCTCAGCAGTGGTTTTCGTCTTGGAACTCTGCCATGCAGGCCATTTTTGCCCAGTCTCTTTCTTATGGTGGAGTCATGAACACTGACCTTAATGGAGGCGTGAGGCCTGCACTTCTTTGGATGTTGTTCTGGGGTCTTTTGTGACCTCTTGGATGAGTCGTCGCTGCGCTCTTGGGGTAATTTTGTTCGGCCGGCCACTCCTGGGAAGGTTCACCACTGTTCCATGTTTTCGCCATTTGTGGATAATGGCTCTCACTGTGGTTCGCTGGAGTCCCAAAGCTTTAGAAATGGCTTTGTAACCTTTTCCAGACTGATAGATCTCTATTACTTTGTTTCTCATTTGTTCCTGAATTTCTTTGGATCGCAGCATGATGTCTAGCTTTTGAGGATCTTTTGGTCTACCTCACTTTGTCAGGCAGGTCCTATTTAAGTGATTTCTTGATTGAGAACAGGTGTGGCAGTAATCAGGCCTGGGTGTGGCTAGAGAAATTGAACTCAGCTTTCCAAAGATGTGATAAACCACAGTTAATTTATGTTTTAACAGGGGGGGGCAATCACTTTTTCCCCCTTAATAATAAAAACCTTCATTTAAAAACTGCATTTTGTGTTTACTTATTTCTAATATTTAAATTTGTTTGATGATCTGAAACATTTAAGTGTGACAAACATGCAAAAAAATAAGAAATCAGGAAGGGGGCAAACACTTTTTCACACAACTGTATATTGACAAGGATGCTTGATTCATTTGAGGGAAGAGCGGTATGTTGCTGGCTTGAGTACACACATGCAGCCGCTATTTGTAGCGTGCCAGACTGCAGCGCATGCCTCTCAGCCCAGACTCGTGTATATAATTAGTTTGAATGGAAACAGGAGCTAATGGAGAAATACTTGAAATTACAGCCAAATGTCGCTGGCTGAGAGGCTTGGGTGATTTTTTTTTTTTTTTTAAATGCTAACGAACCATATTAAGGAGGAAGTTTAGATTGTATAAAGTGAGAACACATCAAGACATCGCATTTAAAAAATGCAAAGCACCACAGTTTGGTAAAGAGTAGAATCATTTGTTTGATTGTTCATCACTAGTTTCCAGTGTGACTAATG